CTGCGGCGGTGCCTCGTGTTGTTGTCTCCGCCACCCCCTCACCCCGCTCTCTGCCTTCAGGGCATGTCTTGGCCGTGGGCACGCTGCTTCAGCAAAAAAAAGCTTTCGCTCCCGGACGTGGAACAAGAGAGATGAAGCAGCCAGGGGGCCCACCCACGTACGGCCAGAGCATTCAATAACGCTGGTGTAGAGAGAATTCCCTTTTGCTAATTAAACGTACCGTAATTTGTTCAATTTCTGAGTGGGGTGCTGGTGGTTGAATGTTTTCCTTTATATATGACAGAGCCTGCAAGCAACTCATAACAAATAACTGCAGGCGGACCCCCCATATCCACTGAAGGTTGGTTCCAAGCCCCCCCTCGTGGATGCTGAAAACTGGATAATAGTGAAGAGCAACTCATAACAAATAACTGCAGGCAGACTCCTATATCCACTGAGGGTTGGTTCCAAGCCCCCCCTCGCGGATGCTGAAAACTATGGATAATAGTGAATGCTATATACACATCATGATAAAAGGTTGCTGTCCTCTGAAGATGCCGGCCACAGAGACTGGTGAAACGTTAGGAAGAACAACCTTCAGAACACAGTCAAAGAGCCCGAAAAACCTAGAACAACCAGGGGAAATAATTTGTTTAACATGCACCACCAAGCGTAGCCACTAGAGGGCACCAGATACCATACTATATATTCACTAACAAGTATTCATAGCATGGTCTGTGGCTCCCTTTGGTGACTGATTCTGGTAATACATGTAAAATAGTTTTTTTCTGGGTTTTTTTCTTTTAATATTTTTAATATTTTCAGAGGATGGATAAGAAAATCAGTGGATACTGATCTTGTGGATAAGGGGGTCTTTTTGTAGTTACTTAGGAGCTCTGCCCACCCCAATATCCAATTATTTGTAAATAGTTCTTGCCCCAATAACAAAGGCAGAACTAAAGAAAATATTACTTATAAAACATTACTTTAAAAAGTTGCAGTGTTAGCCCCTCCTTTGTGGAAGCCTGGATCTATAGCTACAATTACTTTCAAAAGTAATTTCCTGAACTCTGGTCAAGGCAAATGTACCTGGTATCCAAAGCTAGACAAATTATTTTTGTATGTAAGGTTGGGAAACCTTGAAAAAGGGTCACCATAAGTCAGAACTGACTTGGAAGCACATTATTTTAGTATCCATTAAACACGCTGTGGGCTAAACCGCAGAAACCTGTGCTGCAGGGTCAGAAGACCAGCAGTTGTAAGATCGAATCCACGCAATGGAGTGAGCTCCCGTCGCTTTGTCCCCGCTCCTCACCAACCTAGCAGTTCAAAAGCATGCAAATGCAAGTAGATAAATAGGGACCACCTGGGTGGGAAGGTAAAACAGCATTCCCTAGTCACGCTGGCCACATGGCAACGGAAACTTTGGACAAGCGCTGGCTCTACGGCTTGAAAACGGGATGAGCACCGCCCCCTAGAGTTGGACACGACTGGACTAAAAATGTCAAGGGGACCCTTTACCTTTACCCAAACACCTCTTGCCCCTTCCTGGCAGTAACAATATAATAATAATAATAACAAAGCTAATAACTAACATGTTTTCACTCTTTCTCATACTCATAATGGCTACCACGGGCCACATAATAGTACTGCTGCCCCAGCAAGGGGCTCATTGAACAAATGCAACTGGCACCTGAGTTTGCAGATCCAACACTAAAGTCAGCGCTTTGCACTTTGAGGGGCGTCCTGTGAAGAAGGATGTGCTCATGCATGCCTTCCAACATATTTCACAAACATGCTACAGAGATGTTTGTGGTATGGAGAAAAATGCTAGGACCGAAAGGGGAGCTCAATTGCCTGGTAGGCATCAAAAGAAAAACATTTCAGCACCATTGCAAGATTGTTGTAATAGATTGTTACTGAGTTGCTTCTGACTTACGACAACTTTAAAAGTTATGTGAGAAGTTCAAGAAATGGGCTTTGGATTTCTCACACACCCCAGTGAGTTTCCATGGCTGAGTGAGAATTTGAAGCTAGGTCTGCTGCGTACTAAGGCAGTGCTCTATCCATTGCCCCATATGGACTCCATGAGGAAATACAACCTACAGTACAGTACATTTATTCTGATAAATCCTGGAGGAAGGGAGTACCTGTTTTAATATCTCCAGGTAAGAGTATTTAAGGCTATAGCTTGAGTGGGGGATTGCCTCCCTTACCTGAGTACATTGGGGGCTTGACTTGAGAACTTAATCCGTATTGGAAGGCGGTTCTCAAGTCAAAAAGTTCGCAGGTCAAATCTGCATTTCCCATAGGAATGCATTGAAAACCATTTGATCCGTATCTGCTCTTTTCCATTACAAAGGATTGTCCAGAATTTTTCATGTGAATCGAAAGTGAAACAATGCAGATCCTTGTCAAAGAAATAAATTATACAAATATGTCCCACATCCTCTTGGGTGGCCTAAGTAGGGTTAACTTTGTGCTAAGTCCCGTGTCTGTTTTTTTTAAATTATTATTTGATGTATTCAATTCATTGTTGTCCTGTAGTTTTGCTGTTAGTGCTGTGAATCATCAAAGGAAAAAGCAGGAAATTTTAAGATGGATAGACTGAAATCTACTTGCTTAAGGTAGAACATTACATTATTTATTTATTTGTGTATTTAAAATATTTTAATCTTGCCTTTCTCCTTAGGAAAGACCCAAGGCAGCTTACATCATTAAAATACAATATTTAAAATTGAAAAAAGTAAGTATACACATAATAAAAAGGATCAAGCAAACAACACACTGAAAGACAGTAAACAAAGCAATATTCAAAGCAGTTAAGAACAAGCATCCATTGAAAACCCCCCACTCAAGCAGCTACTCATTTCTACTCCTTAAAGGAAAGCTTGCCTGAAGAGAAAGGTCTTTACCTGTTTGAGGAAGGACAACAAATATGTGACCAGCTTGGCCTCCTGTGGGAGGGAGTTCCAAAGTCTAAAGCAGTTCCACTGACTCAATGGAACTATCAGAGTATTTGACCCACCCAATCCCCAGTGATTCAACAGACCTACTTGAGTGTGACTTACAACCCTAACCAACAGCCAGAGCATATGGTAGCAAGAATTTGTTCTGGAACTTTGGTTAGTATTCAAATAAGGATATAAAAGAAAAATGTTACTAGGTCCCTTTTCACACACCTACTGTAAGGCAGAATCTTCTGGTATTAAAAAAAATTAAAGTAAGACAAATGGGGGGGGGAGACTAATGTTTATTTTATCAGCTTCTTTACCCCCACTCCTTCTCCCATGGCAAAACTGTGCAGAGACTGATAAAAGCTCAATTTCTTAGCACAAAAAATGTTCCCAAATATTTTCACTGCCTTTTAATGACAGGTAGAGAGTGCAGTGAAGCACTAGAGGAAATTAGAAATTCTGTGCTTTAAAAAATGTGTGTGAAATGACTTAGCATTGTTTCCCATTGTGGTTAATTCTCTGAAGATATGTTAATTTTCAATCTTTCATTAAGCTTCCAGTATAGTGTCTCTTTTGCCCTCTTCTGGACTGAACTGTTATCAACAACGGTGAAGAAAATATGAATCATAAACGGTTCCATGTTGGACAAACTGAATATAATGTCATTTCTTAACAATGCTAGGGAAATTTAGCTGTTGAATAATGCTTTTGTTATTGTGCAATTATTTGGTTATGTACACAGTACATTTGTTCTTTCTGCACACACACACACACACACACACACACACACACACACACACACACACACACACACACTTCATGCTACGAAGTCATTTTAACTGGGATTAAATCTTTGGGGAAAACTCTTTGAAAATGGTACCTGTTTCCCATACTAAACTTCAGGGTGTGGATGTTGAATTGTATTTGTTTGTAAACCCCTGCATGTGTAAGAAGTAGGTTTTTCAGTGCAAATGAGATATGAAGAATATTTAAATATTTCTCCCTTTTTCAATTGGGGCCATGGGTATTTATTCCAACATAAAGAGAGAGAGAGAGAGATTTTAGCCACATCATATTCATTTAACATCTCATGTAATTTCATCCTCACTTAGGTACACTTATTTTCTACTGGAATAGATGAGTTTTAAGATAAAAAGTGCACTGAGAGAAGAGGAACCCGCTACTATGTTAGTATATAAATATTAGGGGTGTGAGTGACTGCAGTGAAAAGAATCCAAACAAGGCAAAGCAGGAATATTTGTGCATTGCTAGAGCATATAGAGGGCAGTGCAAGAAGTTTCAAAGCAAGCCCAAACTTCTCTGGACACTCTGGTTGCTGAGCCCTGGGGATGGCTCAGATCAACCTCACCAAACTACTTACTGTATTATAATAAGAACTTGTGAACTATAGAGCTGGAAGGGACCCTATGGATCATTAAGTCCAGCTTCTGTCAAAGAGGAACAGTGGGGAATTGAACTCCCCACCTCTGACTCTGCAGCCAGAGCCCTAAGCCACTGAACTATCCAGAACTTGTATTCTCAAAGGCTTTCATGGCTGGAATCCAGTGGTTGTTGTAGGTTTTTTGGGCTGTTTGGCTGTGTCCTGAGGACAGGAGTCAGAACTCTGTCTGTGTTCTGGTATAGGATAGTTGAGTATTTGTAGCTGTGAGATCAGCTTTTTGTCCTTTTAGGAAGGACGTTAGGAAGAAAAGCCTTTGGAACACGGCAAAACAGCCTGAAAAACCTAGAGCAACTATCCAGCACTTCTCCATGCATTTGATCAATCAGCTATTTTGTTTTTGGTCCAGGTGTGACAAGGGGATGATAGTACG